AAATACTCTAAGGGTTGGAGGTTAAGGCGATGTGGATGGCCCTTCGTGCACTTCGGCCCCGACGGCAGGATAGATGCTGCGCGCTGTGGGTCTTTGCCGCGCGCGCGTCGGTCTTCTCCGAGGGCCGAGCTCTATGCGTTGATCGAGCTGATGCGAGCTAGTGTCGATGACGTTCGACTTTATTGTGGCTGCCTGCTAGTCGTGAAGGGTGTAAGAAATGTTTGCGGTCGAATAGGAAATCTAGCATGCTGGACTTGTGGGCTGAATTTCACCATGTGCTTTCCGAACGTCAGGGCTCGCTCCGACTTCATCTGGACCAAAAGACACCCCACCCAAGCCCAGGCCGATACCATGTTTTTATATGATGTCGAAGTGTATTTAAATCAGGCTGCGGACTGCATTGCTGCTTTGGCTGCTGAGAAGGCCCAGTTAAGTGAGGATCACGTTTCCCTTATCGTACGGGCTGAGAAGCTTGCCGTGCAAGTTTTTGAAAGGATCCTGGCCGCGCAGCGTGAAGTGTTGTTTTCCTCGGAGCGTGGGAAGAGTGGACTCCGTGAGCCACGGCGAACTCGCGGGGCAGTCTCCTCTCTGCCCGGGCGGATTTGCAGGTTGAGAGATGCGGGCCACGAGCCCGCTGTGCATGAGGCATGCATCAAGTGCAGGCAGTGTGGGCTGAGCTTCAGCCTGAGAGGCCAGCTGGCGAGCTTCTGGCCCACGCCGTGCAAGCCTCGGTGCACCATCCAGCAGCGAGTCCAGCTGCTTGCGCCGCGGGAGGCGAGGGGTGACACGGGGGCGGGTCCTGCCCCTGATGCCTTGGGGCCGTCGGGCTCGTGTGGGGGAGCCCTGGATCACCCCTTGGCCGACCGCTGTCACCCCCCCCCCCCCCCCAACCGACTGGCGGCGCAGCGAGGTGTTCTGTTTTGCGCTGTCTGTGGAGGTGTTTGCACAGTTGCTCCTCCCCGCATCCTGCATCGAGTGTGCGGGGGCCCAGCCCGAGGGCCATGCCCCTCGAAGGCATGGCGCGAGGTGCTGTCGCGCCTGGCCAGGGGGGTGCCACCAAAGTCGGGCACCGCTTTCCCTGATTCGGCGTGAATGTGAAGGAGCGGCCTGCCTAGAGCAGGACCCCCGCCGTAGATATAATTAGAATTCGCATTTCCGCCTCCTCTTTCTCTGCGCCTGCTTGCGCGGATTCCTGCGTGGCTCCCTCATGGATCCCTCATGGCTCCCTCGTGGCTCCCTCATGGCCCCCTCGTGGCTCCCCCACGGCTCCCTCATTCCTCCCTCGTGGCTCCCTCATGGCCCCCCTGCGGCTCCCTCATGTATCCCTCATGGCTCCCTCATGGATCCCTCATGGATCCCTCGCGGCTCCCTCATGGCTCCCTCGTGGCTCCCTCTGTCTCCCGCGTGCCCTCCTTCATGGCTCCCTCATGTGTCTCTCATGGCTCCCTCGCAGCTCCCTCGCGGCTTCCTCATTCCTCCCTCATGCCTCCCTCGTGGCTCTCTTATGTATCCTTTTGCTGAATTCACGCATTCTGCGAAGTTTGTGTGTTTCAATATTACCCCTGGACTCGCACTTCGCAATATGCGATGCTCCTTCGGCCTCGGCCACATATGAAACTCAGCCCAGCTCAAATTTTACATAAGATAGTAGCGCCCATCATCTACAAGCGCATCCTAAAACGGGATGCCCCTTGCCACCCGACAGGGAGCCAACGCCGACATGTTGTTTTGATGGGACAGCATGTTATGAAGCCCCTGCCCGCGTTCCCTTCGCGAAGTTCCGTAGTGCTCGATCGGCTCAGTCTGTTTCATCGCACGCGCCTTTCGCGCCTGCGCTTCGCTCTCGTGACTGCCATGGCGGGGGGGAACGCGATCCTCCCCAAGACCCTCCGCGAGACTCTTGGGAGCGCCGTTGGGGGCGAGAGCATCAACTTCGGCGAAGCTCTCCCGCGCGCCGACGGCATGAAGCCCCACTTCCACGCTGGCCTCCCGCGCGGCCACGTCGGGCAAGAGGGGGTGTCGAAAATCGCGGACCTTCTTGCTGCGCCCATGAACGTCCATGCGGGCGCGAAGATCGCCTACTTTGGGGGCCTGTTGATGAACCAGGACTACGAGGAGATCCAGGGCCCTTGCGGGGAAGCAGTCGGTGTCCACACGGGGTGGAAGGACGCGCAAGGGCAACCGTGCCGCTTGGGCGCGGTCAAGGACCTTGCGACGACGTCCAATTTCAGCGGCCCCCTTCCGCCTTTCAATCTCAAGAGCCAACCTGGCGGGCCATGCGCCACGCAGAATTTCGTTGTCGGCGCTGGGGAGGGCAAGGTGCACATCTTCAAAGACGTTGACTTGAAGGGCCAATTCTTGAAGCTGGCAAGCTGCGAGCCAATGTGTCAAGGCACAGGCGCCGTGTACCAGTATGGGAACCAGTATAGGGCGGGCCGCAATGCGATCTGTTATCTCCTGGAGAAGCTCGGCGGCTTACAGGTTCGCTTCTTCGCGCTGGCAGCCGCGGCGAAGCCTGCCAAGCGCTTGACCGGGTGGGATGAGAAGCTCGAGGGGCCCCGATGCATCGAGAAGAAGAGCTCGAAGAGCAACGACCGCAACCAGTTCATGGAGTTCGCGGACAAGGACGGTTCGGCGGGGGAACGCGGTGCCATTTGGGTAGCCCCTTTGCCCCCCCCCCCCCCCGACGCTCTCCTCGGTCGCGCAGGCGCTTTGGCCGCCGAGCGGTCGCGGCGAGCGAGGCGGCGCCGTCGTTTCAGCGCCCCCCCCCCCCCCCCGAGGGGGCCAACGACCCGCAATCGAAACTTTCCGGTTTGGGGGGGGGGGGGGCGCGTGATCCAGGCGTTGCGGAACCATTCGGGCGGGCGCATCAATGCCACGCGCCTCACTGTCTGGGCGCTCGCGCTGAAGGGCTTCGAGCCGCGGTTTATCAACAAGGTGCTCGCGGAGATCTTGCCAAAGCTTCGCCGCAACGGCGTGCTCTGGATCGGCAGGGCCAGCGTGGGGAAGTCGACGGCGTCGAAGACCCTTGCGTTCTTGATGTCCATGCTCGAGATCGACTCCCTTGAGGGCGATGATAGGGGGGGCGCCCCCGAGCCCTCCAGTATCACCGCCAGGCACTTTGATTTCCTCAAGGGCGAGAACGCGGAGAGGGCGCTGCCCGCGGTGTTCGACGACGGGGACTTGCGCAAGCAGGGCGCATCCGAGTTGAAGGCGCTCCTCAACCCGAGCGAGGAGGGCCCCACCTTGCGGGCGAGGTGGGGGCCCAGCACGTTCGCCCCAGGCGCGCCCCGCCAGGCCGTGAACAACAGCCACGGTAACTCTTTGGAGAAAAGGTTGGTGGTAGCTCGGCGCCAGGGGCAACGAATGGAGATTCCGCTCAAGCAGCTCATGAATCTCATCGCGCCCTCCCTGAAGCAGGTCGCAGAGGAAGAGGACATGAACGCCTTGCTCGCGAGGGCCCACGTCGTGACCACGGGCGCGCGCGTGCGTTTCCGCCGAGCATCCGATGAGTTCCCAGAGGGCGGAGTCGTGCCCTTTTTTTTTACATACAGCAAGGTGACGAAGCCTGACCTCTTCAATTACTCGCCCGAGACGCGCGCGTGCTCCGGCAGGTGCAAGGACGACCCAACTTCGCCGAACAGCTACCCGACCGACTTCAAGGAGAAAGCGGAGTGGTCTCCGAATTTCGCGAAGCGCTTGATGCGCGGCGAGTACGCGCCCAGCGCGTTGATCACTTGCGGTGCTTCGCTCTTCGGGCGGCCCGTGCACAGCGTCCAGCCAGAGGTCGCGCCCCCGCCAGTGGGTGGTTCAGGCAGTGGCGCGGCTTCTTCGAGCGGCTTGTCAGGGCCATCTGCGGTCGCTGGCATGGGGCGCGCTGGCGAGCTGAGCAACGTGGACGCGGCCGAGCAGCGGGCGATCTACGCCGCGATGCAGGAGCAATTCTTCGAGGGCAACACGAAGGACAGCGGCGCGTTGGCGGGCCTCATGTCGCCTCCCCTTCGGGCGCGGCGGCGAGCTCAGCGACGTGGACTCGGCTGAACAGGCCGCGATCTACGAGCAGATCCAGCAGGCGTTCTTCAACCAGAACGAGGTGGGCTCTGGCGTGCAGATGGACCTCACCACTCCTCCCCGTCAGCGCCCTGACACGGCGGGCGACGACTTCGACTTGCAGGCCGAGCTCGAGCGCCACTTAGACTTGGAGGAAGAACGCGAGCGCCAGCGAGCGGAATAAGCCCGCAATCAGGCAGCAGAGGGCGCCGCGGGCCAGGGCAGCGCCATGGAGGAGTGAGGTGTGCTGTGAGTGGGGTGCCCATGCGCGGGCAGCGCTGCCGCTTTCGGCTCGAGCAATGACTGGGCGCGCGCCGCCGAGGGGGCGCGCGCCGCTGGTGCCCCAGATGAGCCGTTAGCACGCTTCATAGCCGTGCACATATCGTTTTCTTCTCGATGCATACACGCCCTTCGGTTCATTTGAGCCGACTGATTGAAACCGGTCTCGTCGTCGTCGTCGTCGCCCCCGTCCCCCCGCGCGTCGCCTTGGCGTTGGTTTTCGCTGCTTGCGCCGCAGTTGCGAGCGGGACCTCCGCTGTCCGCGCCGCATTTGCGCCGCAGCTGCTTTGGCTCGAGGGCGCGTCAGCAAACCGCATATCGGGGGCGCTAGCGGCGATGGTAGGCATGGCGCGCACGTGCAACAACACCAAGAGCATCAAGAAGGCGCTCGACGCAGCGACTTTCGACGCGAGGGAGGAGTTCCTCGCCATGGTCAAGTACGCTCACATCGAGGACATGTCGCCGTATCCGAAAGGCCCCACGACGCCGCTGATGGTCTTTGCCCAGCACTTCGGCGTGGTTCCCGATAAGTACTGTTGCCCAGGAGTGCGGCTCTGAGTTCACCATGAAGGTCAAGTCTGGGACGTCTGACCGCTCGGCGCGCCGGGCGCGGCGTGGCCCTCGCTGCGACCGCGCTGGCTGCTGCGACGCATGCGGCGACGTTGATCTCCATGACGAAGAGTACCTTGCTGGCAGACGTCAAGGCGTCAAGTTGGCTTCCGTTCTTCGGCTGCTTGGTCATGTGGGCCCAGGAGTACCCGCACTTGAAGATCGTTCACGAGCTCGGCAGGCAGCACAACGTCGTGGGCCCTTGGATGGAGAAGTTTCAGGATGCCGCCGCGTCCTACATCGCTGACAAGATCTCCCTCCCGAAGTTGCACGGGACCTTCAAGAAACGCGACAAGGCCAGGGGCAAGAAGGGCGTGAAGAAGACGATCTCCAAGAAGAAGCAGGCCACATTCATCGTGCAGGCCGACGAAGTCTTCCATCACAAGTCCAAGGTCAGCCGCCTCGCGCCAGGCACCCGCCCCAAGAAGAAGCAGGCGTGGCTGCGGGGCGCGGTCGTGCAGGGCAGCCCAGAGCACTTCGTCTTCCGAGTCTTGGAGCACCCAGAGGACGCGCTCGACGGGCGCCCCCGCGGCAAGGAGGAGATGGTGACGAACTTCGACACGCTAGGCCTCCGCGAGGGCATGGCCGTCGCCACGGACGGATGGCGGGCCACGATCGCGGCCGTCGAGCACATCAAGGACAGGGATGGATGGTCGGACAGGGACTTGAAGCACGAGATCGTCGTCCACCCCAAGAGGGAGGTCAAGCACCAGCGTGGCTTCACGACGACCCACATCGAGAACCGCTGGTGGGTCCCCAAGAGGTGGCTCAAGAAGCGCCTTGGTGGCCGCCTGCCCACTACCTCGGATCGGCGGAAATGGGCCCGCTGGGTGACGGAGCTTCAGTACAGGAATGCCGTCGCGAAGTCGCACTCAATGGATGGCGGCCACGCCTACTCCCTGCCGACGAAGGCCTTCCTCTCCCATGTGGCGGAGGTCACGCGGGCTGGGAGGGGGGCTCTGACGCGGCGCGTAATCTCGAGGCTCGGCAGCGCCTGCGATGCAGGCAATATGCTGGGCTCGTGGGCGCATGGCGTGAGAACGGGGCCACCCATACCTGGGGCTGCACAGTGAACCCACACCACTGTGGAAACGAGCCAGCGTCCAACCATCATCCAACCATCAAAGAGCGAAGGCGAGGAGAAGGAGGAGGGGGCGGGGGAGGGGAGGAAGAGGGAAAGAGAGAGACAGATATATAGGCTTCCAGCAGAAACCTGTAAGTCGCGGAGGTCAGAAAACGAACCGACACCTCGACATCTTATGCATTGCTGTGCCGATCGGCGCGGGCCCTCGCACCCCCCTCCATCCCATGGAGTGGATCTTGGCTGTGTTTGGCGTCTGTCTCAAGCAGGTGGAGTTTCCCCCATAGGGCACACTGGTTCAAACAGTCTCATTCAGCAGGGTCGGAGCCAGACGCCCCCCTTCCGCCCAATGTCGAAATGCCGAATAAGAACACGTTAGATGTCTTGGAACGCTGAAGACACCCAGTTTTAAAGTCTCGAGCGAAATCAGATCGTTCAGACGGAAGACGCACTGCGTTTTTGGAACGACGATTTGGGAAGTGCCCGCGTGTATTCCATGTGGTTGCGGCACCCCACACGCCCCGAGGCCATGTCGTGCGCCCAAGCGATGTGGTGCACGCAAATATTGCTGTTGTTGTTGCATCCGTGGTGTGTGCGCACGTTGTTGCGCATCTTACAGCGCAGTAAGGAAGAAGAGGACTATTAGACGAGGGTTACGAGAAAGAGGGCGGGGGGGGGCACGACGACGACGTCATTTCCCCTCTCGGGCCCAAGGGGCCCCAAGACCCCTCCCAGAGCACGAATCAATGACAGAAGTGTAACAGGTCGTTTCGGCATGGCCCCACCGCCCTTGCCCCCTCCCTCCTCCCGGCTCCTCCTTTACTGTTTTGCCCTTGTGTGAAGCACCTCGCAATGTGAGGAAGAGGGCGAGGACGACGATAGGAGGAGGATGAGGAGAACGATGACCACGATGCTGCCGACGACGGGGGGTGGGGATGAGGGAGGACGAGGGGTGAGATGAACGAGGAGGAGGAGGAGGAGGAGGAGGAGGAGGAGGAGGAAGAAGAAGAAGAGAAGAGAGAGAGGTGAACAAACCATATTCCTTCTTTTGTAATATGATTCACGTTCTGCCGTAGCGGGTGTTTACATGTATTTGCGATCCGAACCTTCATTTTTGGGCATCCATGGATGGCGCTGGCGCGAATCGTGACGTGATTAGCGGGGGCCGAGGCCGGTCACGAGCGCTATCGCGAATAATCAAGAACATGCTCCAGTAACCTTACTTTTTCCCGGAAAGGGCGCAGGCCCAGGGTTCTCTTTTAGGGGTTTGCCCCCGGATCTGACGGCTGTAGGGCCCGCGAATTTCTTTTGCGATAAACAACGATGTCGCCTAGGGCCGGCGAATTCAAAAGTTCAGGATGTCTCGAGGGAAACGCTTGTTTGTTTCCAGAATTCGTGGAGGATGTCTCGAGCGAAACGCTTGTTTTGTATGATAGATTGTCCTCTCCTGGCTGGGGACCAGAATTTAGAGGATCTCTCAAGTGAAATGCTTGGTTTCACGTGCCCAGGTCTTGAGGATGTCTCGAGCGAGACGCTTGGTTTCACGCCTCCAGGTTGCCCAGGCAGAGGTCAAGCGCCAGGATTTGTTGAGGATGTCTCGAGCGAGACGCTTGGTTTCACGCGTCCTCGTCGCCTAGGCGGAAGTCTAGAATGAGGAGGTGTTGAGGACGTCTCGATCGAGATGCTTGTTTGCACGTGTCCAGGTTGCCCAGGCGGATACCTAGCATGAGGATGTGTTGAGAATGTCTCGAGAGATACGCTTGTTTTCACGTGTCCAGGTCGCCCAGGCGGATGTCTAACATGAAGATGTGTTGAGGATGTCTCGAGCGGGACGTTTGCTTTCACGTGTACAGGTCGCCAAGGCGGATGTCTAGAATGAGGATGTGTTGAGAATGTCTCGAGCGAAACGCTTGTTTTCACGTGCCCAGGTCACCCAGGCGGACGTCTCACATGAAGATGTGGTGAGGATGTCTCGAGCGAACTACTTATTTTCACGTGTCCAGTTCGCCCAGGCGGATGTCTAGCATGAGAATGTGTTGAGGATGTGTTGAGCGAAACGTTTGTTTTCACGTGTCCAGGTCGCTCAGGCGGATGTCTAGGATGAGGATTTTGACAGGATGTCTCGAGCGAAACGCTTGTCCCCAGCACGTTCCGTAGCGCGTCCCCTTGGCACGTCCCGCGGTGCGTCCCCATGGCACGTCCCCTGGCATGTCGCCTGGCGCGTCCCTTGGGACGTTCCGCGGCGCGTCCTCCTGGCATGTCCCCCTGTCAATTAGCTCTGGGGCAGTTACTATGTGTTCAGGCAGCTCGAGCTTAAGATCCAGATCAGTTCGGTCAGGACTCGGATGCAAAGGAAGACTCGATCCACGACGCTATAGAGCACAACCGCGGCATGGCACATCGCAATTCAGCACGGTGCAGCACAGCACAGACTTCGGCACGGTACATCAAGATCGATACAGTCAGCATTGCAACCTGGCACGTTCCTTGGCACGTTCCGTGGGGCGTCCCTTGGCGAGTCCCCCTGGCACGTCGCGTGGCGCGTCCCCTGGCAAATTCCGTGGCACATCCATTGGCACGTTCCGTAGCGCGTTCTTTTGGCACGTCCTACGGTGCGACCCCATGGTACGTCCCCTGGCACGTCGCCTGGCGCGTCCCTTGGGACGTTTCGCGGCTCGTCCTCCTGGCATGTCCCCCTGTCAATTAGCTCTGGGGCAGTTACTATGTGTTCAGGCAGCTCGAGCTTAAGATCCAGATCAGTTCCGGTCAGGACTCGGATGCAAAGGAAGACTCGATCCACGACGCTATAGAGCACAACCGCGGCATGGCACATCGCAATTCAGCACGGTGCAGCACAGCACAGACTTCGGCACGGTACATCAAGTTCGATACAATCAGCATTGCACTTGTCCGTCACCCAATCAGGTGTCTTTGAAAACGTTGCCATGCGTTACATTTCTATATTCCTTTCCAGGTTCGTGGGTCGATCATGTTGTCCCCGCGGGAACTGTGGGAATGCTGCGCTTGCGCTAATCGTCATGCTATCGAGGGGGCGCGGCCGATAACGGCCGTTATCGCCAGGAAGAGCAATCAAACATGGTCTCAGCACAACGAGAGGAACCGCAGGTCTGGGTTCCCACACAGGGCGGTCCGCCGGCCGGTCCCGGAAAATTTCCGCCAGTCAGGACCCCTTTGACGCTGGCGGTCCCTTCGGGCAGCCGGCGGGGGTGACAGGCGACCTCGTCCGCGCTCCGCGGGGGGAGGACGGGGAGGAGGGGGACGATGAAGCGCAGCAGGAAAGGGGGGGTGGAACAGAGGAGGGGGGGAGGAAAAGAAGCAGGAGGAGAGGAGGAGGAGGAGGAGGAGGAGGAGGAGGAGGAGGAGGAGAAAGAGGAGGAGCAGGAGGAGGAGGAGGATAATAGAAAGGGGAGGGGTAGGAAAAGGTGGGCCTTAGTCCACTTCTAGCAGGAGGAGAGGGTGGAAAAGGAAGAGGAAGGGGAGGAGGAGGGTGGGAGGAGAAGAAGGAAAGAGAGGTCGAGCTTTTGGGTTGTATCTGGCCCTTCTTTGGCCACTGGAGGCGTCCACAGGCTCCTAGGGACTTCCATAGTAAGGTTTATTCCTCGTCCTCCTCGTTCATCCGTTTTCTCCGGAAGGGGCCTGAGCTCATGGTTCTCTTTTAGTCGTTATCCCCCCGGTTTTGACGGCTGCAGGGCCGGCGAATTTCTTACGCGATCAATTGCAATGTAAAGTGTGAATCTGCAGTTGGACAAGTGCGTTTCGCGCGTGCCCGCTCGAGGAAAGTGCGCCCCCCAGCTCGGATCCTCGATAAATAACGGGGGCCGCGGACCGCCGTTTTCTTTTGTAAAAAAGAAGCGCGGCGCCTCTTCTGCAAAATCTTTGATTAATAATGAGGTCTGGAGCCCCGACCGCGACGAGGAAAAGCGCCGGGCGCGCAGGAATTTCGAGGATGTCTCGCGCGCGCCGCATCCCGTGCTCAGGAATTTCGAGGATGTTTCGACTAAGTCGCTGATTTCTTGAAGGAATTCTGCTAGGAGGGCCCAGGTCGCCCAGGGGGTATCCAACATGGCGGTCCTGCGCTGGAACCATGTGTTTTCACGTGTTCAGGCCACACAGGTGGTATTCAACATGGTGCTCCCGTGAATTTCAAGGATGTCTCGACTAATTCGCTGATTTCTTGAAGGAATTCTGCTAGGAGGGCCCAGGTCGCCCAGGGGGTATCCAACATGGTGGTCCCGCGCTGGAGCCATGTGTTTTCACGTGTCCAGGCCACTCAGGGGGCATTTAACATGGTGGATCCGCGAATGTCTATGATGTTTCGATTAATTCGCTCATTGTTTGCAGGAATTCTGCTAGGAGGGCCCAGGTCGCCCAGGGGGTATCCAACATGGTGGTCCCGCGCTGGAACCATGTGTTTTCACTTGTCCAGGCCACCCAGGGGGCCTTTAACATAGTGGATCCGCGAATTTCGAGGATGTCTCGACTAAGTCGCTGATTTGTTGAAGGAATTTTGCTACGAGGTGGCAAGTCGTCCAACATGGCGGCCCCGCGCTGGAACCATGAGTTCTCACGTGTCCAGGACACCCAGTTGGTATTCAACATGATGGCCTCGCGAATTTCGAGGGTGTCTCGACTAATTCGTTGATTGTTGAAGGAATTCTGCTAGGAGGGCCCAGGTCGCCCAGGGGGTATCCAACATGGCGGTCCCGCGCTGGAGCCATGTGTTTTCACGTGTCCAGGCCACCCAGGTGGTATTCAACATGGTGCTCCCGTGAATTTCGAGGATGTCTCGACTAAGTCGCTGATTTCTTGAAGGAATTCTGCTAGGAGGGCCCAGGTCGCCCAGGGGGTATCCAACATGGCGGTCCCGCGCTGGAACCATGAGTTTTCACGTGTCCAGGCCACCCAGGTGGTATTCAACAGGGTGCTCCCGTGAATTTCGAGGATGTCTCGACTAATTCGCTGATTTCTTGAAGGAATTCTGCTAGGAGGGCCCAGGTCGCCCAGGGGGTATCCAGCATGGTGGTCCCGAGCTGGAGCCATGTGTTCTGACGTGTCTAGGCCATTCATGGGGCATTTAACATGGTGGTCCCGCGAATTTCGAGGATGTCTCGTCTGATTCGTTGATTGTTTCCAGGAATTCTGCTAGGAGGGCCCAGGTCGCCCAGTGGGTATCCAACATGGTGGTTCTGGTACGTTCCACGGCGCGTCCCGTGGCGCGTCCCCCTGACACGTTCCATGGCGCGTCCGGTGGCGCGTCCCCTTGACATTTCGCGCGGCGCGCCCCTTGGCGCGTCCACTTGCACGCTCCGTGGCGTATCCCTCTGGCACGTCGCATGTCTTTTGGAACGTTCCGCTGCGCGTCCCCGTTGCACGTCGCGTGGCGCGTCCTTTGGCACGTCCCCTGGCGCGTCCCTTGGTACGTCACTGTGCCACATGGTGGCCCCGCGAATTCCGAGGATGTCTCGACTAATTCGCTGATGTTTGAAGGAATTTCGCTAGGAGGGCCCAGGTCGCCCAGGAGTATCCAACATGGTTTTCTTGGCGAGAACCATCGTGGACCATCCTGGACCATCGAGCAAAAGAAACACGCACGAAACCGACACATGCACGGGAAACGGACGTCCGAGCGATGTCAGGGGCATGTCCCGTGGCACGTCCCGCGGTACGTCCCCATGGCCCATTGCACGTCCCCTGGCACGTCGCTTGGCGCGTCCCTTTGGACGTTCCGCGCCGCGTCCTCCTGGCATGTCTTCCTGTCAGTTAGCTTTAGGGCGGCTACCATATGCTCAGGAAGCTCGAGCTTAAGATCCAGATGAGTTCGGTCAGGACTCGGATGCAAAGGAGGACTCGATCCTCAACGCTATAAAGCACAATCGCGGCATAGCACATCGCAATTCAGCACGGCGCAGCACAGCACAGCCCTCGGCGCGGTACATCGAGATCGATACATTCAGCATTGCATTTGCCCGTCGCCTAATCAGGTGTATCTGAAAGGTTGCCATGCCTTACAGTTCTATATCCCTTTCCGGGTTCGTGGGTCGATCATGTTGTTTGTTTTCGCGGTCTTCGTCACCGCTGCTGTACGCGGCTCGACAGACGGGCCTGAATGGGGTTCTGGGGACCGTTTCGGAACGCTTGCGTTGACTTTCAGGAAGAGAGAGAGAGAGAGAGAGAGAGAGAGAGGGTGAGAGAGAGAGAACCCCGATGGCCGTGGCACCAAGCCCGGAGGTTTACTCAATCGCTTCGCTCATTCCGCCAGCCCATATTGTAGCATCGCTGGCACTTGCTTGCCTGCTTGAGGGGGCAGTTGGGGGGCCTCCTGGGGCCGCTTGGGGGCCTCTTGGGGCCTCCTCAGGGCCTCGTGGGGGCATCTTAGGGTCTCTTGGGGGCCTCTTGGGGGCTTCTTGGGAGCCTTTCGGGGGCCTTTTGGGCGCTCCTGGGGGCCTCTCGGGGCCGAGGGCTCGAAATATCCATGCGGGTCTCCCGTCTGGACCCCCTCTTGGAGCCGTCTTGGGGGCCTGTTGGGCTGTCTTGGAGGCTTCTTGGGTTGTCTTGGGGCCCTCTGGAGCGGTTTTGGGGCCCTCTTGGGGGCCTCTTGGGCCGTCTTGGGGCGATCTTGGGGGCCTCTTGGGCCGCTTTTGACGTTGTGAAAGCTGAAGTGGCGAATATGCTAAAAATGCACGTTTTGCTTACGGAATGAAGCGATTTCTGCCTCTTGGGGCCCTCTTGGGACGCCTCTGGCCTGTTACGGCGTCTGGGAGCCATCTTGGGCGTCTTGAAGCGAGCGTGTGGCATCTCGGAGCACTCTTGAACCATCTTGGGGGGCTCTTGGCGGCCTCGCGGCCCTTCTTGAAGCTCTCTGGAGGGCCTCGAGGGCGGCGCCCAGGAGGAACACCATCTCTGAGTCGGACCGCCCGGGACCTGCCCAGGACCTTGCCAGAGTATTTTTCGTCCAGGGACCCCCAGGGGCCGCCCCGCGCGCGCGGAACTAGAAATATTGTTGACCAGTTACCGGCGAATAACCCAGATGGCCGTGGCACCAAGCCCGGAGGTTTCTGTGACAGGGGACGGCCTGTCCGTGGGCCTCCCCGAGGGCGGCCGTGTTTGCCGCCCAGGAGCTCAGGCTAGTCAGAGGTTTCTTGTGGCCGTGAGTGGGCCCCCGATGGCATGCCCGTGTGCAGTCTCGGCCTGTCCCGCCGTTGCGAGAAGTGCATGAGCTGCGTGATCCGATCCCCTCCCTCACCCCTTCCTGCAGCAGCCGCAGCCCGTCTCGGGTGCTGCCTGTCGCCAGCAATCTGGCACCATCATCGTCACCGTCATCATCGTCTTTGTCGTCACCCGCCACCAACAAAACTCGTCATCACCGGCACCGTCGCCCGCTCATCACCGCATCGTCGTTGCATCGGCGACGGCGATGCATCGACGACGCGGCGCGATCCTCCCACCCCATCAGCCCCCACTCCATCTGGAAGGCATCTACATAGTTGTGGGCTCCTGTGGCAAAGCACCGTCGCCGACCTCCGGCTCTCCGCCCGCCTCTGACCCTCCACGGTGGCCATGGCCGGCCCTGGGGCGGAGGGCCTCCCCGCCAAAGCGCGCAGGCCCGGCCCAGCCCGCGGCGGTGGCCGCCGCGTTCGGCGCGGCCGCCGCCCCCGCTGGCGGGCCGCCGGCCCAGCGGCCGCGGCCATCCTCTCGCTTGCTGGCTCCCCTCGCCCCAGACATTCGAGGGATCACATCGGCGGCGAGCGAGGAGGGGAAGTGAGAAGGGGAAGGCCTTTTCCCTCCTTCGTCTTCCTCCTCCCTCTCCTCCCTCTTTTCCTCGCCTCCTCCTGGCCGCAGCGGAGCTCCCCTGATCAACTGGTACCATCGAAATCCCTACGCAAATTCGCATACGGCTTCCGACCAGCAGCAGCTTCGTCGAATCTGGATAGGAGTCGGTGCTGGCGTTTCCACGGACATGGTCCATCTGATATACAAGGCCGCCTGCGCATCAACGACCGCTGTCGATTTTGGACAGCGGTTTGGTTGGCCATTATGCGGTGGTTCCCATACCCATGTCGGCCGTTCCAGATCAAGCAGTGGCGAGGCATTTTGGTTTAGACCCACCAGAGAATTCGTTAAATGCCTCTGGCGGAGTGCACGGAAGGTTCTCACAACCTTTTTGATTGAGGCCGTATTGTTTTCTTACATTGATTATTTGTTCTACGAGCGTGGTTATGGTTCTTGTTATCAGAAGAATCTGTCATTCTACGAACATTCAGCGGTAGGCTTGTAGGCATGCCAGGACGGTCGGCATCTGCTGAACACATTCCTCTGTCGGGGAATCGTAAGATTCGAGTTCGCCGGAATCGGGGTTCGCCGACGTTTTTTGATGAGCCTGTCCTGGAATTCTGACGGTCCAGTTTCCGTGCAATGTTTGCAGCGGGAGTTCCCGTCAAATCTCAGATTTGGTCTCTTCATTTTCTTGACGGCCCCGTCAGGCCAACACAAGTTTCCTGAAACAGAGTCTTACGTCTTCCCGACCCTGAGATCATGGCGTCTCAATATTTTCAAGCCGGGCATGTTTGACAAGCTTCTTGCGCAGGAAGATGCGGCTTTGGGGTTCCAGTCGTGTTTTTCATGGTGTTGCATGTTGGTCATTTGTGACGGTAGTTGATGCAACGGTAGTTGGCCTTCGAGGGGCCCTTCGTCGCTACGGCTGGGCGTAGCTCGGAAAATTGGAGCGTTTATACCCTGGGAGGGGTCTTGGGGCCGATTTTCAGTAGCCGTTGTCTCAACGCGCCCCGCGCCAGCAAATGGGAACGAAAACCAAAGGCAGCTCCTGTTTCGCAACCGTGTTGGCTCAAGTCTGTAAGGGTTGACAAGGGGGCCGCCGCCGCCGCGCCCCCCCGTCCCGGGCCTATCCAGGCGCGCGCGCGAAATCACGGCCGACACGCGCATGCATGGGGTGTCCCCTGACGGCCTTTGGCGTCGTGGGCGTCCTGACCGCCAGCATCCACAGTCCAGTCGTGGTGTTGTGGGTGAGCCAGGATTTGGGCAAGCGTTTTCTGAGAGGCGTCGGCTGCTGCGCGTACGTCAGGGGGCCGCGCGGTGTCTCCAACGTGAGCAATTTCGTTGACAATATCGTGTTGACGTGATTATGTTGTCATAGTGGGCGGTGCCACATTCATATTTTGCCCGGATCGAGGCCAACAAAAAGGTTTGTCCCGTCCGTGAGCAATGTGTACCGTTCCTTGTGCGCGTTCTTCTGTGGCGGAGTTCAGGTCGTTATGTTCATCATGTTCTGGCAGCCGACGTTCCCTGAGCACCCGCCGATCTACAACTTCAGCGAGCACCAGGTGCTCTTGAACATCGCGATGATTTGCGGTTTTGCATTCTTTGCGTTCGCAGGGCGTTCGCAATATAGGCAGCCGAGCGACAGGTTTTGCTCCGCCGGGGATGCCCGTGCTCGCGCCACGGGAGAAGGGCCCGGCGACCCCGCCTTGCGCGGCCTGATCGCGCCGCTCACTGACCGCATGGCCAACGGAATAGTCCGCCACCCCGGCGCGATGGCGTTCATGCCGTTTTCTATATAGCCCGGGCCTTCACGTGGAACCACGCGTTCTCCGTTCCAATGACACATGCGTGGGTCGAGGTGGCCGTCGCGCTCTATGAAGAGAGGGTCTACGTCGCAGCGTTTGGAGACCAGCGCATCGAGCACCAACAGCGCGTTGATCCACGCCCCCAATTCGCGGGCCCATTGAAACAACGCTTGCTACAGAGGAAGGCCAGGGAAGCGGACGGAGCCATCCTATCAAAGAGCAGGCCTGTGGCGCTTGAAACGTTCAACGCCAGACGCGCACGCGATGCGCCTGCGGCTTGCGCCCGGCATCGCCGGGGCAAAATCCGCGCTCGTTGGCGCATGAACAGGGGAACAGAACGCCGCGATCTGGTTTAGAGGTGCAGTTGCAGCACGCGCTTTCTTCGCATGTCGCGCCGCTGGTTCCCATGCCCCCCCCCCCCCCGCGTTCCTGTCCACGTTGCCCGCGCGAGGGAAATAATGAGCTCGGCGCTTCTAGTGTGCCGTGCGAGCGGCGACGCCAGAGGCAACGACTGAGTTCGGTGACTCTCGAATTGTCCGTCATCTCGCGAGGCGTCTTCTGTGCGTTTTTCTGTCTCATAGTTTGTTGCGGGGCTCGGGTGCTGCGCCGATCGGGCGCTCGCCCATGCCGTTGGCCTTCGAAGCACATTATGATCTTACGTGTTGAATGACGTGGCATGACTTTGAACGAGGTTTACGGAGAGGCTGCGCGGCGACATCTACATGCGACGCTGTCCTGGCTCAAGGCAGCGCTGTCCCATGCGCCAGGCGCGCAGACCTGTGCGCCTCTATTTGCGGGACATCGCTACGGACAAAGGCCACGTCCTTCTACGATCCTTCTCTCATTCCCACGGCTTCTCTCTCACCTCTCGTCATGCTTGTCATCGAGGGATGAGTTGGGGATGCCTCGACGCGTCGCCGACGTTATTATAAGAGTATGGCCCTCAGCTTATCACCTCGCGGTCAAACCCTGCGCCCTTACTGTTCACCTGGTCGCAGAGCTGGCTACATCTTCGCGTGGATAGATTTGATACCAGGCGTTTTGTGCATGGCAACTCGCGGCGCAGTGGGGTGCCCGACTGCGCCGGCCCTCAGCCGCTGCGCTCCCGGCGCGCTCGAACCAATTGGCCGCGCGCAGTCCAATACCTCCGCCCCCCCCCCCCCCGCCACCACCACGCCGCGTGGCCACGCGCCGCGCGCAGCCAATTCGCCGATGCCTATCCGCAAGTTGACGGCCGCGCCAGACCACTCACCCAGTCGCAACTTTGCGGGCGCGACAACATCCAATCATAAGCAAACCGACATCGTCAGCTACAGCGCGACAACGCACTATGTTAAGGTCGCCATATTTGGAACCACCCGGGCGCGCGCGGGCCTAGCCGCGGCGCGCGCGCGAGGGGGGGGGGGCGCAGGCGACGCACATTTCCGCGACTCTGTTCGCGAAGTACACGCGCGGCTCAGCGTTGCGAGCGGAAGCGCGACCCCACCTCGACAGGCCGCAGCCTTACGGCGCGGTCTTGGTGGATTGGCTAGGGCGCTAGCTACGGGGGCTCCGCCCACGGACAACAACAGGGGGTGCGCACCGACGGGGGCGCATACATCGCGCACCTATTCGGCACCTAATTTGAAAACCTCTTGGACGAGCGACAGCTCACCTCGGGGACAGCCCCCGTCGGCTACATACCCAATTTCCAAGTCCTTACTCTGACCTTATTTCGCGCCTTGGGGGTTGATGCCTCCCCGAGCTTCGCGGCCGCTGCAACCGCCGAACCACCGGGTGCCCCGTGCCCGACAACGGCGCGACTAGTTCCTGAAGCGAATGCGCATCCGTGGACATTTGACTGGGCGTTCCCAAGGAAAGTCGGGGGCATCTTCAGCGAGCGCAACGCTGGCGCGACGCACCGGCAGCCGTGCCGAACAGCATCTGGAATGGCGGAGGGCCCACTGAGTCCACGACGCCCTTGGGCCAACGCGCCCGCAACAACAACGAACAGGCTTCTGGCTCAAACGCGGGCTGGCCGTCAGCGGCCAGCTACTCGCCACTTGACGCCACTGCCCTTTGGGGCCCACCCAGCCAACGAGACGATGGCGCATTCGATTCCGGCACGGATGCCGACGCGGCGCCTTCTACCGGCGCCGAAAACTTCGACTGGTCAGATTTGCCCGCCGGCGGTGATGCAGCCGCGCAACATTTAAACCTGGGACATCATCGCGCCAAGAGAAGGTGGAACCGACGCCTGGGGGGGGGCACAACAAAATATCCTTGCGAAGGACCCAACCATATGCAATAGTGAATAACGCTTTGTGGGTGCCGCTTTCGGTGGGGCTCCTTATGGGGCCACGAAAGGCGTGCCACGAAACGCTGTCCTGGGCGTGCGGGACGCATGAGGGCGGTAGCACTGGGGCCTTCGGTGGAGCTCCCTATGGGGCCACGAAGCGCGTGGGGGGTGTGCCACATCGGGTGCGGCGCCGCCATGCCAACGCAGCCACTGGGGCCTTCGGTGGAGCTCCCTATGGGGCCACGAAGCGTGTGAGGGGTGTGCCAAATTGGGTGCGGCGCCGCCATGCGAACGCAGCCGCTGGGGCCTTCGGTGGAGCTCCCTATGGGGCCACGAAGCGCGTGAGGGGTGTGCCAAATTGGGCGCGGCGCCGCCATGCGAACGCAGCCGCTGGGGCCTTCGGTGGAGCTCCCTATGGGGCCACGAAGCGTGCGAGGGGTGTGCCACATTGGGTGCGGCGCCGCCATGCGAACGCAGCCGCTGGGGCGTCCGGTGGAGCTCCCTATGGGGCCACGAAACGCGTGGGGTGTGTGCCAAATTGGGCGCGGCGCCGCCATGCGAACGCAGCCACTGGGGCCTTCGGTGGAGCTCCTTATGGGGCCACGAAGCGTGTGATGGGGTGTGCCAAATTGGGTGCGGCGCCGCCATGCGAACGCAGCCGCTGGGGCCTTCGGCGGAGCCCCCTATGGGGCCACGAAACGTGTGGGGGGTGTGCAAAATTGGGTGCGGCGCCGCCATGCCAACGCAGCCGCTGGGGCCTCCGGTGGAGCTCCCTATGGGGCCACGAAGCGTGTGAGGGGTGT